TAATTAATCAAACGAATAAGTTCGTTAAAGACCTCGTGATAGTTTTGGACCTTAAGGCCCAATGGGCTTCGAACGTCAAGCCCATTAACCTTAAGTTGTATGACAACTTAATGAATAATGATTCACAAAGGCCCAATTAGCCCAATAATACCCTAAGGCCGGCCATTTAGAAATGGAGTGAGTTTTGGACTTATTTACAAGTTTGCCACTCCAATGAATTAAGGTATAAATATGACTTTATAGCCAAAATTCATTTAGGGGGTTTTTCTTTTGGGGAAAGGATGAGAACATAATCTCTCATTTCTCTCTAAAGTGGCCGGCCTCCTTGGAGGGTTTAGCTAGCAATCCGACTACTCCAAGGTCACTCATTTCTTCTCCAATCTAACCTTGGTGAAGAGACTTAGAGGTTCTCAATTTTGGGAACTTGGAGAACCATTTCATCCATCCAAATCCATAGATCTAAGATGCAAGGAATGAAGGCCCTCTCTTTGGGTGATTAGCCTTTGCTTATGCAAAGAGGAATCTACAAAGGTATAATTTCTCAACTAACAAATGTTGTTTTAAGTTGAGTCAAGGTTCACCAATCTACTAGGCTTTGAATTTCATGGTTAATGTTTTGTTTTTAAGTGCATACAAGCATGATTCCGCCTTTTAATTGTTAATTGCATGCTATAGATGTTGCTTAAATGAACATGTTTTTCACATAATTTCCTTCAGCAAACATATCATTGATGATTATTTCATTCTGATCCCATAATGAATTAGTACATGCATGATTTATGGAGATTTCTTTGCTTTCATGTACTGCTGTCTCTTCAGGGACATGTGTCTCATCAAGGACATTTTCTTTTTCTGGAAGTCCAAAATCATGAACTGTGGATTTGTCATTCATTCTATCTTCTTGAATGATTTCATTTGGATTCAGCTGTGCCCTTGTCTTTCTCTTTCGAGGGGCTGAATCGTTTGAACTTGGGGGTCTACCACGCTTCAGGCATGCACCAGATTAATCATTCGCTGCCACTTTATTTTGTTCAACAGGGACATCAATTCTTGCAGGTGCATTTACAGTTGATATATGTGATTTTGTCACTTTCATAGCATTATTAAATGCATCTGGCATTTGATTGGCAATACTTTAAAGATGAACGATCCTTTTCACTTCATTTTCACATTGAGTTCTACGTGGATCAAAATGAGACAATGTGGGTACAACCTATGTCAGCTCTTGCCATTCTTCTGGAACAGTCTTTTCTCCCCTTAATAATGGGAAGACTGTCTCATCAAAGTGACAATTAGCAAAACGAGTTGTAAACATATCACCTGTCAGGGGTTCCAAATATCCAATGATAGATGGTGAATCAAAACCCACATAGATTCCCAGTCTATGCTGAGGTCCCATTTTAGTGCGTTGTGGCGGTACAATAGGCACAAAAACAACACAACCAAAAACTCGTAAATGTAAAATGTTTGGCTGATGCCCAAACACGAGTTGTACTGAGGAGTATTGGTGGTTGGCTATAGGTCTCAATCGAACTAATGATGCAGCATGTAAGATGGCATGTCTCCATGTAGAAACTGGCAATTTTGTTTTCATGAGCAAAGTGTGAGATATTAACTGAAGCCGCTTGATCAATGATTCTACTAAACCATTTTGAGTATGGACATGAGGAACATGGTGTTCAACATCAATGCCTAATGTCATGCAATAATCATTAAAGGTTTAAGATGTAAATTAACCATCGTTATCTAGTCAGATTGACTTAATGGGATAATCTAGGAATTGTGTTCGTAACTTAATTATCTGAGTAAGAAGTCTAGCAAAAGCTACATTTCGAGTAGACAAGAGACAAACATGTAACCATCTGGTAGATGCATCAACCAAAACCACAAAATATCGAAATGGTCCACAAGATGGTTGAATAGGTCCACAAATATCCCTTTGAATTCTTTGCAAAAATGATGGGGATTCAACATCAACCTTTAGTTGTGATGGTCTAATTACCAACTTCCCTTGAGAACAAGCTTTGCAAGGGTTATCATTTGAGATAGCAATGTCTCTGCTCAATAATGGATGTCCATTAGAATTGGTAATGATCCTATGCATCATGGTGGATCCTGGATGACCCAGACAGTCATGCCAAAGCATGTAAACTTTTGAATCAATGAACTTCTGGTTCATGACAGTATATGATTCAATTGTCCTTATGTATGTATAATACAATCCACTCGACAAACCACGCAACTTCTCCAATATACGCTTCTGGGTATCATTGGAGGTAATGCATAGATACTCCATATTTTCTGCACTTTTCGTTTCAATGTGGTATCCATTTAAACGTATGTCTTTGAAACTCAACAAATTTCGAGTAGATCGAGTATTATACAGTGCATTCTGTATGGATAATATTGTTCCATTTGGTAACATAATTTGAGCTTTCCCTGAGCCTTCAATTACATCTGATTGGCCTGATATTATTGTTACCCTTACTCTAGTAAGCATTAAGCTTAAGAAATACTTTCGATCACGAAGTATTGTATGTGTGGTTGCGCTGTCTGTAAGACAAATATCTTTGCCATTTCTCATGTTCTGAGAATAACCATAGTTTTTATCCATGCTTTTTGAGTAAAGTGGATCACGGTTAAAAACAACTTATAACAGGAAATTTAAATACCACTTTTATTGAATTAAAATACTAGTACTAGAAGTTCAGAATAATAAAAGTACATCAAACATAAATGATTCAGTTGGACCGATACACTTCATTCCCCATTTCCATAATGAAGTCTGAGACATCTAGGTGGGTTATGTTCAACTGTCCTGATAAGTCGCACACTGGATCAAGTATATCCATTGGTCTAGCCTGGTCGAGGAAATTAGTCTCGACACCCTTCTCTTTGAGGGGGGCTTGGTATAGATCCACCAAATGTTTTGGGGTACGACAGGTATGCGCCTAGTGCCCATCGCCACCACACCTATAGCAGGCTCCATAAAAGTTTCTAGGAGTATTGTTCTTACGAGCTTTACTTTTGTGGCGATTTCCATTTTTAAAGCTTGGGCCTGAATTTTTACTTGGAACCTGGTTGTGAGACTGACCACCATGGTTCTTGCCTTTCCTGTTCCACCGACCTCGCTTGTGGCCACGTCTTTGTTTATGATTATCGCCACCAAAGGATGTGGCGTTCACTTCGAGGGAAGCAGCATTCACTTCTAGGAATGGTGAAAATCCAGTAGGTCGAGACTGATGATTTTTCATCAGTAGCTCATTGTTGTGTTCAACTACCAAGAGCACATATATCAGCTGGTTGTATTCAGTGAAGCCTCGCGCTCTATACTGCTGCTGCAGGAGCACGTTAGAGGCATGAAACGTGCTGAAAGTCTTTTCCAGCATATCTTCCTCAGTAATAGTATCCCCACAAAGCTTCATCTGAGAGGTAATTCTGAACAACGCAGAATTGTACTCAGACATTGACTTGAAATCCTGGATCCTTAGGTGAGTTCACTTATAGCGAGCTCTTGGAAAAATCACCGTTGTTTGGTGATTGTATCTGTTTTTCAAGGCCTTCTAGAGAGATAACAGATCTTCAACTGTTAAGTATTCACTCTTTAGTCCCTCATCAAGATGACGATGAATAAAGATTGGGCCTTCACCTGATCTTGAGAGGATGAGATGTTCTCTTCCCTAATGGTATCTCCAAGATTCCCTGCTTCCAGATGGATCTTGGTATCCAGTACCTAGGTAAGGTAATTCTTCCCAGTAATGTCCAGGGCAGCAAAATCAAGCTTTGCCAAGTTCGCCATTTTCTTTTTTGAAAGAAAAATGAGATGTGTAAGAACTTGCAATAATATGTATTCCTGGAAGAATATAGTGTTAGAACTCCTGGTTTTTACAAATTTTTCATTTTGATCTTCGGGCCAAAAAATGATAAGCACTCTAAATTTTAGGCTCGAGATTTTCATGATTAATGAGAAGGGCGATTGTACCACACTATTCTCATCGAAACAAGTATAAGATGGGTGATTATTCCGCACCACTTAAACAACAGGAAAATTTAAATACGCAGAGCAGGGTGGACGATTATACCGCATCACCTAAAATTGCAATGAAATTAAACAGCAGACAAATTTAAATATGCTGGGTAGGGTGGGTGATTATACCACTCCACCTAAAATTTGCAGTAAAATTAGATCTACAATCCAAGATAGGCGATGATACCACACCATCTTTGATTGTAGTGAAAATTAAATTTGCAGTTCAAGATGGGCGATTGTACCGCACCATCTTTGATTACAGTAAAATTAACATAAATAAACACTTGGTTAGAAACCATGAATTGCACCAAACAAGAAATCAAAGATATAAGTAACTGTTAAATTTAGAACGAGAAGCAGGCATGGTGCTAGTAGTTCATCGCGAGGATGCATCACGCAGATGAAGCAGAAGAAGAAGAAAAACAGGAAAAACCTTAAAGGAAGCATTTTTTTTTTTTTCGGTGAAGGGAGATGTGAACTATTTAAGGTTAGAGAGTCGTGCAAATAACGTGTTATAAATAGGCAAAAGTTAGAGAGATAACCTTTTTAAGGATATGAGTGAAGCAGGTGCAAAATATCACACTATAAGTTTAGTAGCTATAACACAAAAGTAGTGTAGAGGATGTGAGAGATACTGATATTATTTATCTTGCTTTCTTTCGTAGTGTTTTCGTAGTGTACATCTCAATAGCATACGGAGTGCTCTATTTATAGAGCAATTCCCGTGATATACAAATGAGAGAATCATTGCTTCTTTTGACAATATCATACGTCCACTAGTAATTCACTATTCTAAGATCTACATTCCTTTGAGTGGGCATTCACCCACTAATTTCTACAACAAAATTCTAATTATCGAACTAACCAAAACTAAATATTATAGGCATATAAATCAAATATTAACGGCACAACAATAAAATATGCTCGACATACTAAGAAACCGATAATTTCAGGAATTGAAATTTGAAAATAACCATTTTGTCAAATTGCCTGAAAAAGAGGGAGAAAAGGCGATTGCAATCCGTACTACCCAACGGTAACGGCGACGTCTGCACTAGGCAATTCCCGCCTTTTAAATTTCTCTTTCCCTCTTTTTTTTTTTTTTTTTCCTTCTCTCTTTATCCCCAAATTCAAAGCCTCACGGCGGAGCTCTCCAAAACTGAAAAACCTAATTCACTGATTCCACTCAGCTCTCTCTCTCTCTCTCTCTCTCTCTCTCTCTCTCTCTCTCTCTCTCTCCAGAGCTCCATCTTCGACATCTCCGGCATCCCCCAAGATGCGGAAAACGGCGGCGTTTCAGGGGGCCAACGTCTTCATGTCGCGGAACCTGGTCCCGCCCGAGATGTTCGACGCTCTTCACGACGCGCTTAAGCACAACGGCGCCAATGTCTTCCTCTGCTGCGACCCTTCTCGCACCGCCCCCAACGACTACCACGTCATCGAGTCCTCCGATCACGTTTGTGTCGTCTCAACTCCCCTCAAATCTCAGCTTTTTTTATATTCGCTTCGTTCAACTTCTGGTTTCTGATTTTTTTTTTCTCGATTTTCAGGTGAAGTTTGAGGATCTTAGAGCCAAAGGTTGCAATTTGCTAGGTATGCTTTGTTGTGCGAATTCGGATTCAGTATTTGCTTTTCGATTATGTGAATTAGGAATCAGGGTTTATAATTTTGTTTTTTTTAGTGAAGTGAACTGAGGAATTGAGTCTTGATTGTTGATATGATAGAGACGATAATGGTTATCTAATTACAGAATGTTTCTTAGTGATATACAAAGCAAGTCTGCACGAAATGTTTCCCTTTTTCTGTTTAAATTTTTTGTAATACAGTTCTGTAGTTAATTAAGTAGACTACAGATGGCTAATGGCCTTACCCAATTGAACCATTAAGTCAAGGCACAATTGGGTATCTGTTAAATTGTAAACCATGCGAACTTAAGAAGTTTTTGATGTGGGATGAATGGTTGTTCTTTTGAATTTCTAATTCAATTCCTTTCTTGGGAAGTGGTGATGACTTGGATGTGTTTCCGATGTTGAGCAGGTCCTCAATGCGTGTTTGCTTGTGCGAGTGAGCATAGGGCTCTGCCTAAACAAGGGTTTACTTGTTGCCTTGCAATGGATGGTTCCAAAGTACTTGCGTCGGGTTTTCAGGGGGATGAAAAGGTATTGTGCCTGCAGCTTGTGTGCGTAATGTTTCAAATTGGAACAAAATTCTAACAGTAGCTTACTAAGTATTACAATGGGAGCAAACATCTGTCATCTATCTCTGAATATCACTTATTTGAGTTTTTCTTGATTGTTCTTTCTGAGTTCAGTGGAAAAATCTTTCAATCTTTGTTACTTCCATTTGATAAAGTTTATTATCCATGTTTTTCAATTGTCTTCTACTGTTACTATTTAGAAACATGCATTCTTATATTCAATTTTGTTCATCTCCACTCCTATCTATTACATTTACAAGCAGCGTAGCAACCCCCTCTCTCTCATCATTGGTATTCCATTGCTTATCATTGTGTTGCAGATTAAGATAGAGAAGTTAGTAACAGCAATGGGGGGAGTTTTGCAAACGCAAACATCATCGGATGTTAACTTTGTCATTGTGAAGAATGTATTGGCTGGAAAATACAAGGTTAGTAACTTAACTTTTCTGTTTCTTCAAGGTTTCATACAATTTGATTCATTTCTCCATCAAGGTATTGGAATTTGAAATTTCTATACATGTCAGTTAATAACAAAACTTGAAAAACTTATTTACAAACTCTCATGTGCAATTTCATATAATTTGACTATGTTTGTAAATTCTAAATGGAACTCAATGATGGGGTTATCGCTTTAAAGAAGAAGGATTTTTATATTTGGGGTCTGACAATAAATCAGACACTATCTGAGAAGGTATTTTGGGAAAAGGGATTATAGCAGATATTTTATGGTAAAAGATGTAGTTACTGAGTTGTTACTCTTTATGCAGTGGGCTTTAAATACTTTGAAGAAGCCAATTGTCACGGTTAATTGGTTATATCAGTGCTGGAAAGAGCATCGCACTGTGTCTCAAGATTCATTTAGGGTTCTTCCTTTTTCTGGGCTGACAATCTCTGTAACCAGAATTCCAGCAGGTTCTCAAGTAGCTACCTATTTTCTGTGTGAGAATTATGTATATTTTTGTTATTCTTAAATGTGTTGCTAAATGTGCTTTTCTCTTCAGATGAGCGAAAGAAGATTGAAAAGCTTATCATAGAAAATGGTGGAAAATATTCTGCTGAACTAACAAAGAAGTGCACGCATTTAATTTCTGATATATCCTTTTGGGGTTCGAAGATGAAGACAACTTTTTTGCATTGTATGTGTTATTTTATTTCTTCATATCCTCATATATAGAAGTACAAGTCTCAACTTTATGAAGCAAACCTTCAAATATTATGTTTGGTATTTTATCTTCAATATGCTATAAACCCAGATTTAGTTTTATTCGTAGCTGCATTTTTTTTCTGAATCACTACTTCAACCCCACCTTCGACTTCTTATAGTGTACAACACCTTTTCTAATTTTCTGCAACCTCAAATTATTCAGCAATTCTTAATTACTTGATTGATTTTCATAAAGAGAGGATTATGAGAAACATATTCTACACAATCCTAAGTTCTCTTTGTAAATTAATTTGATTTTATGAGTAAATGCATTATTTTTGCATGCATTGTTGCTTTTTCTTTCGCTTCCTTGATGTGAAAACAATTAGGTTGCATGACACTTTGTTTTGACTGTTATTTTTCAATCTCTGTTCGGGTTAGTGGTCAGTTATTTGCGTGTGTTCTTTTTGCTTGAAGTGCATTCACGAATATCTTCCTTCTAATCCTGCATCATCAATCAGCACTGAGTTTCGAGATTGCATGTTATTCAATTCTATGTGTCGGTTTTCTTGACTATTTGTAAGCTCCAGAAGGTGACAAATACAAGGTTGCACGAAGATGGGGCCACATTCAGATTGTAACTCAAACATGGTTTGATCAATCTATTTCTAAAAGAGGTAAGGATTCACTACAGCTTATGGCAATCTTTGAATTTATGGGATTTTACTTTATATTCTCTTCCATCTCTTGGGTTTTTATGCTACATGTCAGCCCTTGCAATCATCTCTCTCACTATCTTCCCCTTTTTTTGGATGAATAGCTTGTCTTCATGAGGAGTCCTATCCTGTTCAAGGTGGTTCTATATCTTCAAATAAAAGTGTAAGGGGTTGCTTTACTTTGCAGAATAGCCAAAGCAGTGCTAGTGGGAACTTGCAATTTGTGCCACCATCGGTGGTTGCAGATTCAAACTTGACAGCTGCCCCTTGTTCTGGAACTGTGGATTCTGATTTAGAAGCTACTGTCTCACAAAAGATGACCACTATATTTTCTTATGCTCCTTTTGTTGTGAAAAATGAGGATAGTAAGGCACCTACCTTTGATCCCTTGGAGTCCAAAAGTGAAGTGAACCTTGATGGTTGTGTTGCCGATGATTCTCAGTCTGAAGGTGATGACCTGTACTTGTCAGAATGTAGAATATCTCTTATTGGCTTTGAAGCTTCCGAATTGCGTAGACTGGTTAATATGGTTCGCAGAGGTGGGGGCTCCCGATATATGTCGTTCAATGATAAATTGACGCACATAGTAGTTGGTACTCCTTCAGAAATGTAAGTTGTTCTTTTCGGATGGTAAAGACATAATTATTGCTTTGTTGTTTGAATATCTGACTTTCTTTTATAATTTCACAGCGAAAAGAAAGAGGTAAGGGGTCTTGCAGCTTTAGGGGGTCATTCATGTTGTTAGAACTGCCTGGCTTGAAGATTGTGATCGTGAGAAAAAAGAGATCCCTGTTCTCCAAAGGCACATCGCCCACGATCTACTTCTTCCTGAAGGTTTTTAATAAGTTAAACATGCATTTTTGTTAATTAGTTCTATATTTGTTCCCAACATGCAAATTTTTATGTTGTTGGATTGAAATTGTAGCTTTATCTGTCTTCGTATCTTTCAGATATATATGTAATTTTGTTTATCCAGTTCCTGAGCAGACTTTGTTATTGACTTTGATCCTCCCTTTTTTACCAGGAGCACTAACAAGTATGACTAACAAGGTTAAAGGTGGAATCTTGATGGCTCATCTAAGCATGCCTGCTGATCAATTACAAAGGAACACAAGTGCTGCAACTGGAATGGGAATGTTGGAGAAGAACAGAGAAGAGAAACCAGAAATTAACATGAAAGGTGACGGATCCATGGAAGCAGCTGTTGGACTATCCAAACGAAGTAAGCTAACTGTCCTAAATGGCAAAAGTAAGGTTCAATTAAATGATAAAACAAATGGTCTACAGAAGGTGCAACATGATTTCAATGTTCAGAACGGCAAGCCATCATCTGTCTTTAAGGGGAGAATATTTTGCTTTTCAAATTCCTTTCCTGAAGATAAGGTAATTTCTTTAAATGCAGATTTTACTAGCAGTCCTCATAACTTTAACATTTGATTTCATTTTGTTGTTATGTGTAATATTTTTTATTTTAACTGCCAGAGAGGTCAAATCATTGAATGGGTAATTCAAGGGGGAGGAGAGTTAGTTGATGGCCATATAAAACAGAAAGTGCACTTCATTATTGAATGTCATGGTGTGAGACCTATATCCCTGGATGCTACTGAAAGTACATATGTATCAAGTCACTGGATCAGGTCGTGTTTGGAGGTATATTCTGTAATTCATAAATGCATTGTCTCGATCAATGTCTACGAGGCCTTTCCTTCTGTTCCATTACTATATGCTGACACATGTTTGGATAACTAATTCTTCCACATGCTGTGACATGACTTGACATTTATGCATGCATATCTGAATACGTCGTAAAAAATTATATGCATGTATCTTCAACCTGGTATTGTGTTTCCACTTGATGGAGAGGAGAGAAGAAAATAGAAACTGTTATTTCTTTTCTTCTCTCTCTTAAGATCAGAATATTGAGTTTTAACTGAGAAAACAAGAATATTGAGTTGTGGGTGGTGTGAGGTAAAGCCTACTTTCTTTGAGGCTGCAAAAATCTTCATCTCACAAGCGTGATGATTTTAAGGGAGAGGGAACTTAGATTGGATTTCTGATATGGAATGCCAACATGACTTAAAAGTGTTTCACAAAATTTGGACCCATCATTGGTCTTTCTTTACTCTCCACTTTCTGTATGAAATAAACAAAAGGATCACTTAATGGAGACTGAGAGATGTATCCTTTTTTATATTATTTAAATAATTTTCTCATCACTATTATGTTTTCCTCAGTCCTCGTATTATCTTTGGAAACACTTTAAAACTCATTTGTTAAAGCAGATTTTGTTGTTATATATTATGTTATATTTTTATATGATGGGTATGATTTTAAACTAAGACCTCTGTATATCTCACCCACACCTCACCATATATTCCAAGACCTAGATGCATAAAGTTGAATTAGTTTTACTGTTCTAACATTTGTTTCTTTTATTGTCGTTTATTATTGCCTTTTATATCTGTATGTCATCATTTGATTAGCTCCTGACTTATTGAATTCCCATTAAAATAAATATGTACTCTGCTCATTCCAAATGCTGATGAGATTAAAACAATTTTGAAGGACGGATGCTTGGTGGATGTTACTAGTCACATTCTATATGCTCCACTTCCCTGCCTGATTCCTTTGCCTGGATATGAAAACTTCCGGTTTTGTGTTTCTCAATATAATGAGAAAGATAGAGTTTTACTAAGAAATTTATGTTATACACTTGGAGCTAAATTGGTGGAAAAGTTTACGAGGAAGGTTACCCATTTGCTGTGCAAGTTTACCAATGGACCAAAGTATGAGGCTGCTCTTAAATATGGTATACATACAATTACGTCCGACTGGATATATGAATGTGTGAAGCAGGTATGCCTTTGTTATCATCGTTTGACAGTGAGTTTGCACACATTTGCATAAAAAGCCTACTTGCATGTGGGAATTTATTTAGACCATTTATGCTTAACTCCTCACTGTTTGGCAGAATAAAGTCGTTGCTCTTGACCAATTTTGTCCAAAAGAAGTCACTGCTGAAGATCGGGAGGCAGGGCTGTGCACCACAAGTCAGTATCCTACACAAGCTTTTCAAACAATATTTGGAGGCAATTCGTCTGAGTGTCCAAGTCAGTTACAAGACCCGAGAAACTCATCTGCTGAATTTATTGGCAATAGAAATGACAGCCTCAGAGAAGAGGCCAAAGAATCAAGCTTTTCCAATAAGAAGGCAAGGGTTTCAAAAGTAGACTCTTCTGGGGTGCATTTAAGTATTCCTGTCTGTACCACTGGAGTCAGCAAGAAAGTTCCAGGTGAAGTTTCTTCAGTTGTTCCTGATGTAGCTTCTGCTATTGAGGACTTACTGGAGCAGACAAGTAAGGTAAATATGTTGGATATCTTACAATCTTTAGGTTGCCTTTCAAGTTTATCTGTTTTGTAAGTTTTATCTGTTTTTCTCTGTAGATTCATGATCAGCAATCGCCAGGGAGAAGTTTGTGCGATGGCAATGTATCCTTTTACCCTTAGACACTAAATTTCATTGTTTCACTATCAACTTTTGTATGACTACATTGCTTGATTGTTAAACAGATTTTTTCACCGGATTGTTCAATTCTTCGTGAAGAGCGCTCGGATTCTCACTCCGTCATTGGATTATCGAGATCTAACTGGTTAAACAGGTGACATTATATCTTTTTACTCGTATAACTTATTTCATATATTTCCTTTCACACCAAAGTTCCAGTGAATCATTGCATGTGTTTGTTTAATGAAACTAAATGTTTTCTTTACTTTTGTGAACGGATGATGAGCTTTCCCTTGCCCTTAGGATATTATTAGGGATTGTTAACATTAAGCATGTATATGATTTACTTTTTTATTTTTGTCTTGATATTGGTTGAATGTTAGTATACGGTATCTTTCTTATGCTTTATGAATCAGAAATATGAGTTTGATTTCATGTATGTGGATTTCAATGTATGATTCCATCCCTGATCTATGATTGACCAAATTGTCGGGAGACTCGTCGCATGGTTTTGGTGTGACATAGATTCCTTTTGGTGTAAAAACAAGGCAATCATGTCGTGCGAAAATTCCGTTAAAAGAATTCCTTTGCTACTAGGCTTCTGTATAAAGAATTTGCTGATCCTGCTTCAAAAGATGATGGTTCTCCATTTTGTTTCTGTTCTCATTTGACTCTGATATTGAACTTATTTTCTTTTTCAGTGCTGGGAAAAAAGATGACATGCACAATCCTTCCGGAGAACAGAAGGCTGGCTTTTACGATGGTTTTAGCGAAACACAGACCGAGTCTCAGGTTCAGCTGATACTCAACTGCATTGCTCTATCTAAATCTGAATGCTTATCTGATGCCTATCAAGTTGTTATTATAATTTTTTGTTATTAGTATATTAACATTAGGATTTAGGAAACATAATTTTGTCAATTTCGGTGAAAAAAACGTCTATGGCTCTAGCCAAATTCCTTCCAATTTTACATCCTCGTGCTCAAATTTTACAACGCAGGTTGTTGGTTACGAGGAAGATTTGTCAGGCCGGCAAATGCTTATAGATAGAGTACGAACCCGAAGCAGCCTGTCTTGAATTGAAATACTAGTGCAGTCCCCCATCTATATTGTCAAACCACTTGCTAACTCGAAGGCTTCTTGCTAAATGCCGTATAACGAAATATATATTCGGACCACTGGGGGTAGCAGACCAATTGCTTGTTCGAGTGGTGGTTTCAGGTAAACCTTGTTTGCTGAAAGTTTCAGCAAAGGCGGTAATGGCAATTATTCAGCAGGCATTTGTGCAAGTTTTGAAGATTGAGGGTTTGATGGCAAACTATATCTCTTGTGCGGGCCTGGATGTGTTTACACATAATTTTTAAAATTTTTGTATTACAACAATGCTTGCTTTCCGTCAAGCGGTAATCGAGCTGCTTATTGCCTTTGTATTTCAATGGTTGCAAGGCTGTTGCCCTCTTACAATAGTAAGAAGGCCATTGGGACTGATCAATAAGCATAAGTTGAGGTACTTCATCAACAACACCAGAATTAAGTAGCCACCTAGTGCTATGGTCTGGTGGTATTCCTCTTCACTTGCAAGTGAGAGGTCTTAGGTTTGATTCTCGTTAAAGGCGAATTTGAACCACATTGTTGTTAGCCCATTGGAAGGCTTAACTAACTCTCTTTCTTTTTATAGATAATATCGTTTTTTTAAAAAATAAAAAAGGTAAACGTGGAGCGTGCAATGTAGTGAAACATCAAACAATGTCAAAGATAGCTCTGCCATATCTGATTAAAATTTTTGAATCTAAACAGCTTCATCCAAACTGCAAACACTGTCCAGAACCAGAATTCCCTTCATGTCAGCTCCAGCCATTAATATTATTTCTTTGTTAATTATTAATTAAATAATAAGAGTATGTTTTCACACGGTTTAGGGTTTTGATGTTTATTTATTGCGCAAGAAAGAGTATTAAAAGGGGGGTTGGATTTCAAGTCGTTTGATAGAAATAAATTTTTTTTGGATAGAAATTAATTAATTAAATAATCAAGATTTTGGATCAATTCAACTAAAAGATAATTTTGAAGATTCTCGTCAAAAGTGAAATTGAACCATATTATTATGGCAGACTCATTGTAAAACTTAGCACACTTTCCACTCTCTTAGTGTAGATACTATTGTTTTTTTTCAAAAAGAAGAAGAAGATAATTTTGAAAGAAGAAAAAAGAAAAACTAGAAAAGAAATCAACTCATGTTGTAGGTGTATTTTAAGGAAAAAGAGAGAGAGAGAGAGAGAGAGAGAGAGAGAGAGAGAGTTTGGAAATTTTATGGTGTCATTTTTCATCCTATTGTGTCTTTATTTATAGTAATAATGGAGAGAGAATCTTGATCTCTAAGTAATACAAGTACAACATAAAAACTATTTAAAAGATCTCATAGAAGCCTACAAATAATCTATTAGGAGTGGGATTTACATGATCACACTCCTAATGAAATTAGGATTGCATCAGTCCCCTTGAGTGTGTAAATACTCAAACAAATGACGCATTACATCTTCATTGGATGATGTAAAAGCAATTGATGAAGTCGTCAACACAATGAGCGAATGTAAGTCTCAAAACAAACGAAAAAAATGCATAAGTAGTAAAACTCTCAAAACCTGGCTATGGAACAACTCAAGGTAGGATAAAAACCATAGTCTATGGAGAAAAGTAAGAAGTTGCATTAAGTCAAAACTAAATGCTTTTAAGATGCAAGTAAAATACACATAAGGGTATGACTAGCCTAAGATAGGTGTCTAGTTAAAACCTCGTCAGGTTGAAAAAAATCCAGTGGAAAAAATGCTTATAATCGTAGAGAAAAAGAGTACATTAAGTTCAAGTGAGTGTACTTTTAGATACTCCCCTAAGTTTGACAAAACTTCCAAATGAGAACTACAAACATTGCAAATCAGACAATTAACGGATACTAATCCTTAAACAAGCTTCTAGAAGGTATACTTTGGCAATGACTTTGTGAAGAGATTGGTGAGGTTGGCGAGGTTGTCCTCTAATCAGATTTGAATGTTTTTTGTTGCTAATGTGAAAGAAAAAATTCGAAGCAATATGCTTTCTGTTGTCTCATTTGATGTATCCTATCTTGATATGGTCGATACATGCAACGCCATCTTCATTAATCGTTGTAGGATAATGTCAACGACATAAGAAAGTCCGCAAATGTTTCCAATATGCTTAGAAATCGCTCTCAACCAGAAGCATTCACACGTAACTTCATGAAGAAGAGAATTTCAACATGGTATGAAAAAGTTGCAACTAAGGCTTGTTTGGTTGACAAGTGTTTGCAACGGTAAAAGCATAACCCGTTTGAGAACAGGCATTGTGTAGGTTAGATATATAACTTGTGTCAGCATAACAACAAGGCGATAATCAACTCGAGGGCTAATGGGGATAACGGCTCCATGATAGAAGCATATTTATATGACTTTGTTATCTTATTTCTCTGCATTTACTTAGTTAATTTCCATTTATTTTGGTAATTTAAGTTATTTTCGTATTATTATAGGTCCAGTTGGTAAAGATGACAATAAATAACTAAATGGAGCAATTTGAAGCAGTTTTGAACTTGGATTGGATAACATGCATTGATAGCATATGGGCTGGACCTTTTTGGTGTTTAAATGGTGCTAGACATGTGCTAAAATATGGAGAAATTAAAGTTGAGGCTTGGAAAACAAGGAATTACACAAGAAAGATGAATCCTAGTTGGAGAGGAACATTATCTTATCCTATCTTATCTTATCTTATCTTATCATATCTTATCCAACATTATCTTATTTTATCTCCAACTACAAGGAGGAATCCTAATCACATTCAAACACTGTCTACTTGATTCTTAGAGTTCTAAAATAATTCAAAATGCCTAATCCCTTTCCTGCTTGGATTCAGCTGTTTCCCCCCCCCCACACACACACATATATATATATATATATATATATATATATGAAATTCCTGCAATGATTTAGGGGGTGCCATGTCTACTATTCATCCATTGAAGTTGCTGGAATTTTCAGAGTTCTTTCTATCTTTGTTTTAAGTTTCAATGTTTATTTTAGATTGCTTTTTAGTTAGGATGAACATGTGTAACTAAGTTTCTTTTTAGCTAGAGGTGAATTCGAAGCCATGATCATATGTTTTATATAAATTGATTGCATCCAGTTATTGTTTCATAAAACATGAGTGCGATTTACTTATCTGCTTTATAGAAAACTTATTATTGTATGTTTATTAAGGATGCATACTTAGTTTGCATGCAGGGATTTGATACTAGAATATAAGGGAAATTCACCTAATCGTTATGAACTTATATTTGTAAGTAGTAAAAGTCACTAGTCATGATTGAGTTAAGTAAATCCTTGGTAGGAGTATCATGCTTTTCATAGTTATGAATGCTTTGTCAATGCTTATGATTTTCACAGAACTTAATGATCTTTGAGATGTATCTCTATCATGCTTTTCATAGTTAGGGAACTTGAGAAGAATAATTTGGTTGCGTCTCTGAGTCCAATTCAATGAACTTAGGAAAATCTGAAAGTTAATTAGTGATGTTCATAGTTAATTTGGGGCGTTGTCATTCATGGTTTATAGGAAAAATAACTGGAAATCGATTTGTATCCATATGTTTCATGTGTGGAGAAGAATCCTTTAGCTATCCTTTCATCCATATTTCATTCACAACTTAATTTACTTGCTGCCGTTTAATTTTGTTTTAGTTACATTCGTCCAAAGTCCCCCAGTCATTGTTGTGATGTTAGTTTAACTTAGTTTTCAGTTTTATAAGTTTAATTTGTGTTGATTAGCATCCCCTCTAATCCCCGAAATAGAACGATCCATACTTACTCATACTATGATTGCATAATTTATAGGGTTTAATTTGTGTGTTAGTTTCTACCACATCACTCCACTCAAGAATGCAAAGGGATAGAATAAGCCCAAATCTATAGTACCTTTGAGGTAACAAAGGATGTCTTTAGCACTAGTCAAGTGTCTGCATGTAGGCAAGTTGCTATATCTTGCCAAAAGATTAACAATGAATGAGATGTCTTGTCTAGTCTAGTGCATCGTGCTAAGTCAACAAAGCTCCAATTGCACTCAAGTATGGAACTTCAGGCTCCAAAATATCTTCCTCACTGTCTTTAGAAAAAAGGGGTCTCATTTTGCATCTAGCGTTCGGACGACCATAGGAGTACTCGAAAGGTTCGCTCTATCCTCGCTAAAGCGTCTTAACACCTTATGGGTGTAGTTCGATTGATGTACCAAAATACCATCTGAACAATGTTCGAACTCCAACCCCATACAATATCGAGTTTTTCCTAAATCTTTCATCTCAAATTTCGACTTCAGGTGTAAGACAACTTTCTTAAGCTTTTCAGGAGTACCAATGAGATTCATGCATTGACATACATTGAAACTATCGCAAATCCAAAATGTGATATCCTAGTAAACATGCATGGGCATAGTTCATTATTCACATATCCCTGACTAATCAAATACTCAGTCAGACGACTATACCATATATGCCCAAATTGTTTCAATTAGTGGAGCGAACGCCTCAATCTAATTGAGAGGTTGTTCAGTGGTCTAGAACTATTTGATCAATTCAATATAAGTCATTCTACGTGGCTACTACGTCTATAAGTTGTATATCTATTTTTTGGAAGCTACCAAACTAATAAGGTAGCGGCATGTATGACTTCCTTACGGGGGAGTACACCTTTTCGTAATCAATCCTAGGAAGTTTAGAGAAACCTTGCGCCACAAGGCATGCTTTATATCACACTATTTTACTCTTGGCATTACGCTTTCTCACAAAATCCCACTTATAGCCAATGGACTTCATATGTGGAGTTCTAAGAACTACAGGTCCAAACACATTAAGTTTCACAAGTGAATCAAATTCGACATAGATTGCTTGTTTCTAATTTGACCAATCAGTTTTACGTTGACATTCATCAAGGGAATGTTGTTCAATATCATTGCTTTAGCATGATTTTAGTTGCTATTGTGCATGAAAATGCATCTTCGACTATCATAAATCACTCCATGTCGTGCACATTCATCCATGTTCCCTCCTTGCACTCATTTGCTGCACCATTCCACTTCCTTTCCTTTGTCTACCATGTGCACAATATCCTTTCACCTCCTTGCACTCATTGATTCACCACTTACTCACTTTTCCACCCATGCCATGCATAATTACCCTTGTCCCCTTCATGCACCAGATTTCTTGAACTCATTTCATGTACCATTACACTCATTATCCACCCATGCCGTGCACCACCCTTGTCTCTTTCATTATTTCTGATTTCATGCATCAAAACATTGAATCATTGCACTCAATTGCTGCACATTTCTTGTCCCTTTCACCCATCAGATTTCATACAACTTTTACCTCCACTACATGCACTCATTGATGCACCATCCACCACATTTGGAATCCCATGTCGTGCATCATGAGTCTTGCTGCACCTTTGACTCATTTATGCACCATTCCACCTCCCTTTCCTTTCTCTACTATGTGCATAATCATTCATGTTCACTACTTGCATTCATAGCTGTAACACCACTCCATTTTACCCCCCATGCTTTGCATCATCACTTCACTTTCACCTTTGAATCATTTCAAACACCACTCAATGCACTCATTGCTGCAACACCACTC